ACCTTGTGAAGGGCAGGATGCTTCTCTTTTCCTCTGGAATAGAGGTAATAACAGTGCAACTTGAGTTTCAGCAGCTGATGAGAATGGTGGCCCCTGTGTCTGGGAAGTATGAGAATTGCAGTATCGGGTAGCAGAGACTGACAAGGATGGTGGTACAGGTTGAGCATCCCTTATCCAAAATACTTGATACAGAAAGAGTTTCAGGTTTGATTTCTTTTTTGTATTTTGTAATATTTTCATATATATAAAATCATATATTTGGGGAATGAGACCCAAGTCCAAACACAAAATTCATTGCTTTCACTTCATTTATATATGCTTTCTATACATAGCCTGAAGATAATTTTATATAACATTTTTGTGCATGAAACAAAATTTTTTGTTTGTTTGAACACAGGATCTCACTCTATCAAGCAGGCTGGAGTGCAGCGGCACTGTCACAGCTCACTGTAGCCTTGACCTCCTGGACTCAAGCAATCCTGCCACCTCAGTCTCCCTAGTAGCTGAGACAACAGGCATGCACCACCATGCCTGGAAATTTTTATTGTAGAGATGGGACCCCACTATGTTCCCCAGGCTGGTCTCAAATTCTGGGCTCAAGTGATCCTCCTGCCTCAGCCTCCCAAAGGGCTGGAGTACAGGTATGAGCCATTGTCCCCAGCCCCATGAAACAAAGTTTTGACTGCAATCCACCACATGAGATCAAGTGATGGATTGAAATTTTTCACCTCTGGCATCATGTTGGGGGTCAAAAAGTTTTTGATTTTGGAGATTCAGATTCGAGATTTTTGGATTAGGGATGCTCAGCCCATACTTGTGTGCCAATGTCTGATGGGAATGGTGGCCCCCTGTCTCAGGGAGTGAAGGGAGTGATGGATCCCGAGTCCTGGATATTAGTGGAAATTGCAATAGCTGAGTCTTATGTGCTGGGAGATTTAAAGCCCTGCACTTAGGGAATGAAGGAATCAGTGGTCTCTGTGACTTGCTAACTGATAAAAACAGAAAAGAGACCTTATGTTTCAGGAATGGGAATTATGGTCGCTCTTCCTGGGGGCTTAAGCAAGTCCCAGCCTAATCCACAAGCCGTTTATTATTCACTCATCCCTTCATTCATTCAGTGAACAAACATTTTCCTGAGCCCCTGCTCTGAGCCATGCCTGGGTGGAGTGATATTGAGGACACAGAGATGACTCAGACCCAGAGCATGCCCTCAGTAAATTCCCAAAGACAGACCCAGACACAGAAAATCACAGCACAACAGGATCAGGGCCAGGACAAGGACTATGCTGCAGTTACTGTCCTAATCTGTCTACAGGGCATCCACGGTGAACTCAGAGTGATAGTAACTCCAGATCTCAAGTGAAAGTGAGGGGTCTGACAAAGGTTTCTTCTTAGTCGTACATGAATCTGTGTGCATGAAAGGTTTAAATGTACCGAGTGTCAATCCTTAGAAATAGCATATTTTCAGCCGGGTGCCATGGCTCACGCCTGTAATCCCAACACTTTGGGAGGCCGAGGCAGGTGGATCACCTGCGGTCAGGAGTTTGAGACCAGCGTGGCCAACGTGATGAAACCCCGTCTCTACTAAAAATACAAAAATTAACAGGGTGTGGTGGCGGGCACCTGTAATCCCAGCTACTCAGGAGGCTGAGGCAGGAGAATCACTTGAACCCAGGAGGGGGAGGTTGCAGTGAGCCAAGATTGTGCCATTGGACTCCAGCCTGGGGGACAAGAGCAAGACTTCCATCTCACAAAAATAAAAGGAATAGCATATTTTCCCAGAGCCAGCCTACCCCAAAGAAGGAGCCAGAGAGGCCTGGGTTTGAATCTCTGGCTCTATCACATACTCCGTGAGCTTGGCTAACTCGCTGTTCAGAACCACATCCTATTCAGTATTCCATCCTGGCAACTGGGACAATCATAGTTTCTAATAATAAGGTTCCTGTGTAATCAGTCACATAATGTACAACAAATACTCAGTCCAGAAACTGGCTCCAAGTAGTCATTCAATAAAGGGTATCTGGGCCAGGCGCAGTGGCTCACACCTCTAATCCCAGCACTTTGGAAGACTGAGGTGGGCAGATCACGAGGTCAAGAGATCGAGACCATACTGGCCAACATGATGAAACTCCATTGCTACTAAAAATACCAAAAATAGCCCAGCTGCTCAGGAGGCTGAGGCAGAAGAACTGCTTGAACCCAGGAGGCGGACGTTGCAGTGAGCCGAGATCTCGCCGCTGCACTCCAGCCTGGAGCAAGACTCCGTCTCAAAATCAAATAAATAAATAAATAAAACAAAGGGTCTCTATTGTCATTATTATGGTCCAATTGTTAGTAATTACCAACAAATGTTAAAGGATCTAGAAGTAAGCATTCATCTCATATCTGGGTTTAGAGACTTAAAAGCCATGGGCAAAATCACTTTAAAAATCAGCAAATTTGTACCAGGCATGGTGGCTCAGCCAAGGCAGGAGGATCAGGTGAGGTCAGGAGTTCAAGACCAGTCTGGCCAATATGGTGAAACCCCATCTCTACAAAATATACAAAAATTAGCCAGGCCTGGTGGTGCATGCCTGTAGTCCCAGCTACTTGGGAGGCTGAGGTGGGAGAATGGCTTGAACCCGGGAGGCGGAGGTTGCGGTGAGCGGAGACCATGCCACTGCACTCCAGCCTGGGCAACAGAGTGACTCTGTCTCAAAAATAAATAAATAAAAATAATAAAAAGCATTCGTTTCCATAAAAGAACCTCCCAACCTCTCAATTAATACATTAGGAATAAATAGATGAATACAATGGAATATTATATAGCTATGAAAATGAATGAGGAGGCTGTATAACCCTAGAGATGGGAGGATCTTTGAGTATCGTGTTAAAAAAAAAAAAAAGCAAGGTGCAGAATAATGTCATCCCATCTGGGGACACATATAAGAGGAGGACGGTGTATATGTGCATAGATGTACAAAATTCCTCTGGAAAGATACATAAGAAATTAGTGAATATACGCTGTCCCCAGAGAGAATTGGGTGGCTGGAGGATAGGGCCGGAGGGAGACACACTGTTGAGAGCCCAGCACCATGCACCCTGAATGTTTGCCCTAAGTGTCCCTGGCTCTTCATGTCCACTGAGTTCTCAGATGCCCACAGCATCTCTCCCCTCTACCCTCTTCTTCCTCCTGATTCCCCACTGGAAACAGCTCCTGCCCCATCCGTTCCCGGGGCCAGACTCAGGGAGTTGCAGCTTTCCTACCTGTTTCCCTCCCAGCCACCACCCAGCAGTCTCCAGCCATCTCCAGCTCCTCACATTCTTGCCCCACCCCCTCCTCTCTCCCTGAAGTCCTAGCCCCCAAACTGCAGGGAGGGGAGCCTCCTCCCCAGCCTCCACCAGTCTCTCCCCCTGCAGTCCACACACATCGCCGGAGGTCTGACTTTCAGATTTGACCCTGTCCCCACCCTTTGATCACGACCGTCCCGGGCTCTGTGTCACCCTCAGGAGACTAAGTTCCCAGCGTGGCCTGCAACTCCCTGAGAAGCTGACCCCGCCCGCTGGCCCCAGCCTCATCTCCTGTGCTCCTTGGCTCCTGGCCTCGGAGGCTCTAGGCAGACTTAAGGGGCTTTGTTGTCTCCCAGCACCTTCTTGGTTTCCTGCCCTCGGGCCTTCGCTTCAGCTGTACCCTCTGCCTGGAAGGCCTTCAGTGGAGGTCATGCCACAAGCACGCCTTCTCTGGAGGTCCTCTCTGCCGGCTGCTGCCAGGATTCCTCCTGCCCTGGGCCCTCACAGTCTCTGGCCTCTCCCTCTGCATACCCTGATCACTCGGGATTGGGCTCTGTGTCTTCCGTCAGACTGTGAGCTCCGTCTGCAAGGGCAGATTCGGGTCTGATTCACCTCTGAGTCCCCAGTGGGTGGGGGTGGGGGGGCGGGGAGACCAAAGCTGCTGTTGTGGGGGGAGGCTGGGAGAGCAGGAAGGTGGGAGAAAGAGAAGGGCAGACCCTGACTGGCTGGGGGAGAGAGGGGAGGAGAAAGCCAGAGACAGGAAGGACAGAGACACAGAGACAGGCAGGGAGGGAGAGAAACAGAAAGAGAAAAGGGAAGAATAAATGGGAGACACAGAAGCGCCACAGGCAGAGGAACAGGATGGAGAGGGCGAAAGGAAGGACAGACGTGCAGAGACAGAAGGGAGGACAGACGGAAAGAGACAGAGAGAGGCAGCAAAAGCAACCAAGAATGACAGGAGGAGGGAAGGAGGGAGGGAGAGAGAGAAAGAGAGAGAGGAGAGGGAGGGAGGGAGAGAGGCAGCGAGAGAGCACGCAGGGAGCGTGGAGGAGGAGGAGGAGGCACAGGAGAGAAGAGGGAGGGAGGCCAGCGAGGGACAGGACAGGGCGGAGAGGCGGAGAGGACCTAGGGAAAGCCGGGGAGGAGCGAGAGCGGCCGAGGGAGGAGGGCGGGCGAGGCGGGAGCGCCGGCCGCCGCCGCCTCCCGGCCTCTTTTGTCCCTTCCCTCCTCTGCGTCAGGCTCCCCTGGCCCGGCCTCCCCCTCCCGCTCCCTCCTCCGCCCCGCTCCTCCTCCCCGGGGCTGGATGGAATTTTTTCCCCTGGACCGGAGCCAGCTCCGGGGCAGGGCGGGTGGGAAGCCAGGCCGGACTGGGCAGGGCGGTGGGGAGGGGCCGGGCGGGGGCCCCCTGGGGAGGGGGCTGGTCCGACGGCCGCGCCGCCGGCGGGGTCCGGGGAGGGGTAGCCCCGGACCTCAGAGCCGGGGAGGAGTCGCCGGCCGGAGGGAGTCGGGGAGAAGGGAAGGGGGATGGCGGGGACGGCGGGAGGAAGGGGAGCGGCCGCGGGGCGGCGGAGGCGGGGAGAGGATGGAGAGCGCTCGGCGGCGGCGGTGGGGCCCGGCCTGCGGGCCCGGGGCGGCGGAGGAGACCCCTTTCCTGCGACGCGGGAGCCGCGGGAGCCGTGAGTCTGCGGAAAGGGAGGTGGCGGGCTGGGGCCTGGACTCCGGGTCCCTGAGGGAGGAACACCCAGGGGCCTGGATTTCTGGGTTCTTGGAGGAGGAGTTGGGGGTGGGGAGGTGGCTGGGCGCCCAGACTCCTGAATCCTTGAAGGAGGGGGCTGGGACCTGGATTCCGGGGTCCACAAGCTGAGGAAGGCTGGAGACACCTCCTGGATTCAGGAGGGAGGACCGAGATGGGGGCTGGGGCGGGTAGGATCGTGGCTGGAGGAGACTAGGGGCGCGATGCCCGAGCCCTCGGGGGAGGTGGAGGAAGATTTGTCTGGCTTTGGAGTGCCTGCGGCAGCGGAGGGGTTAACGTCTGGCTCGAGGGGAGGGGGAGGGGCAGGGATGGGGCTGCGGGGCTTTGAGGGGTCAAGGGTGAGCCGTGCCAATGGGAGGGGGCCGAGGAGGAGGGGCAGGTTGTCTGGGCTGCCAGACAGGCCAGGGTCAGCGGCGGGGGCAGGAGATGTCTGGAGGAGAGGCCCAGCATCCATGCTCCCTCGGGGACCCGGGATTCCAGGTCCCAGACCCTCCTCCCTCAGACCTGGGAGTCCACCACCCAGTCCCCCACCCATTCCCCCACCCATTTCAAAATCCGAGCCCCCAGCCCCCTTTTTTCCAGGATCCAGGAGTCTGAGCCCCCAGTCTGTTCTCAGCCCAGGGAATCCACACTCCAGCCCCTAACCCCTTTAAAACCCGAGTTGAGAACCTCAGCCCCTCCTCCCAAGGAGCGCAGCCCCCAACCCTCTGCTCCTCTGGAACCCAAGCGTCCAGGTTCTGGCATCTTTTCCCCCTTTGAAGCCTGCAGTTCTGGGGTCCCCCAGGCCCCTCCTCCCCGGAACCCAGGAGTCCCCACCTCCCCTTTAGCCCCAGCTGGAGTCCAGCCCTCCAGGGGTTAAGGGGGCGGGGCCAGCTGGTTGCCATGGTGCCAGACTGTTTGGGTCTGCTCTCTGACCCTTGGGGGCTCCCCAGGGTCCGCGGAGAGGGGGAGGGGGACCTAGGCCTGGGGGAAGTCCGGAGCCTACCCCTTCCCCAAACCCGGCCTATGGGCCCAGGGAGTTCGCGTTTCCACCAACGCCTTGTCAAGTGACCTTGAACAAGTCCTGACCCCTCTCTTTCGGCCTCAGTTTCCCCAAGGAGACACTGGTTGGCGTGTGGGGGAGATACTGAGGTCCCGGGAATCTTTGAGATTCTCAGCTTCCCTTCTCCCCTCACCCCCCTCCTCAGGCCCCAGGCAGCCCCGGGGCATGCTGGGAACCCGGGCCTGGGCTCTGGGCCAGGTTGGTGGGGGGGCGGGGGCAGCCTCCTCCCTTCCCCTTCCTCCCCACCTTGGCCTGACTCTCGCCCCCGCCTGAGGGTCTGGGAGGTTGGGAAGGAGGGAAGAGGGTAGAGAGCTGGGACCGTGGACCCGTCTCCGGCCCCCGCCTCCCCCTTTCCTTCTCCGCCCCTTTCCCGCCTCTTCTCCCCCTCCTCAGCAGGTCGCTACCCCAGCCCAGGGCCCCTTCTCAAACCACCCCCACCCCACCCCCAGCTCCAGACCTGGCTCGAGCTGCGAGGGGGAGGGAGAGAGGGAAGGAGAAAGAGAGAGAGAGAAGGGAGGGAGACCCAAAGGGAGAAGGGGGAGGGGAGGAAAGAGAGAGACCTAGGAGGGAGGACAGGAGAGGGAGAAGGAGAGAAAGGGAGAGAGACAGAGACCGAGGGAGAGTGGGAGACAGAGGTGAGAGATGGGGAGGGAGAGGAAGTGAGGAGAGACATCCGAAAAAAGGGGGTGGAGAAGGGTGAGAAAGAGGAGAGGGAGTCAGAGACTGAGACAGGGCCCGAGAGAACGAGAGAGACAAAGAGGGGGAACGGGGAAAAGGGGAGGATGAAAGACAGGAGGCAGAGGAAGAGAAGGAGAAAGAGGGGGAGAGAGGGAAGAAAACGGGAGCGGGAGAGGAGAGGCGATGGGGAGAGAGAGAGAGAAGGAGCACAGAGCCAGGGAGGGATGCCTGATGCAGGAGGAGGAGGCTGGGAACCAGGGAAGGTGGAAAGAAAGAGGGAGAGAGAGAAAAAGGCAGGGCCAGAGACATGGACTGTGAGGAAGGAGCAGGAAGGCGAGGCTGGAGCAGGGGCAGCAAGAACCAGAGGGTCCAGGAGGAGGGGCTGGGCAGGGGAGAGACCCCAGCTGGAGGGGCTCTGAGCCCAGGGGTGGGGAGGGTGGGTGCTGAGTCCACTGCCCACTGCTGCTGGAGGCTGACTTTGGGAGTCTCTTCCCCTCTCTGAGGCTCAGCGCCCTCCTCTGCCTCACCTGCCAAATGGGGATGCTGAGGGCACCTCGATCTCTGGACTGGGAGGTATCAGGCAGAAGACTGGTGCTCTGGGCCTGATATGGTGTCAGTGCTGGGGGATTGTGGCTGTCATCCTTAGGACTGACCCAAAGAAGGGAGGAGAGAGGAAACAGGTACCAAGGGAGGCTTGGATGCTTGCTAGCCCCTGGGCATGGAGTCTGCAGACTGACCGGAGTGTAGGTAGGGCAGGTGTGCCCAAAAGGCCAAATTCCCAGACAGGTGAGGTTCCCTCTGAGCCAGCACCCAGGAAGTCAGGTGCTCTGTTAGGCCATGCCTTCCCCAGGAGGCCTGCCGGGCCGGCGGAGGAGGATCTGGGGGCTGGGACTCCTGCGTCTCTGGGGAGAATGGGGCTGTGCATCTGGACTCAAGAGTCTGAGGGAGGAAGGGGCTGAGGGCTTGGATTCCAGGAACACTTGGGGAGAAAAGGGCCAAGGGCCCAGACCCCTGGGTCTCTGGCGAGGAAGGGGATGGGGACCTGGACTTCTGGGTTCTTTAGGGAGGAGGGGGATGAGGGCCTTGACTCCAGGGTCCCTGATGAGGAAGGGGCTGAGGGCCTGGACTCCTGGGTTCCTTGGGGAGGAGGGGCCGGGGGCCCGGACTCCTGGGTCCTGGCACCCACCCGTAGAACCGACCTTGCGGGGCCTTCGCCGCACACAAGCTCGTGTCTGTGGGTCCGTGTCGGGGGCTCACCATCGCGGCTGGGGCCTCCCCGGCCCTCCCCCTCCCACTCCCCATCCTCCTGGTCCCTGTCTGTCTATCTGTCGGGTCTGTCCACCTGCCGCGCCCCCCGGGCTGAGGTAGGAGGTTGTATAGTTGAGGAGGACACCCAAGGAGATCACTATACGACCTCCTAGCTTTCCCCAGGCTGCGCCCTGCACGGGACGGGGCCCGGCGGGGACCCCCAGCCCCACTCGGGGACCCTGAGCCCCACTGGGCTGCCCCAGGGACCCTGGGAGGAGGAGCCGGGCTGTCTTTTCTGTCCTTGTCCCTGCATCCCCTCCCTGCCCTGAATTCTGTTTTACTTCTGTCTGTCTCTCCATCTCTGCTGTGTCTCTGTGGCTTCTGCAGCGTTCGCAGTGGATTCTCTGCCTCTCTCATTCTGGCTTTCTAGGTCTCTGCCCCTCCCGACATCTTTCTGTGTCTGTTTCTGTCCTTTTTGGTCTTTCTGTCTTCTGGCTCTCAGAATGTCTCTGTGCCCATCTCCATCTGACCCCCACCCCAGGGCCTGCGGGGCCACCACGTACCATGCTGCCAGCCTCTGGGTCCCTGAGACCCTTTAACCTGTGAGGACATCCAGGGTCACAGGTGAGGTTCTTGGGAGCCTGGCGTCTGGCCCAACCACACACCTGGGGAATTGCTGGCCTGACCCGGGAACCCTGACTCCTCATACGCTTCCTCCAGAGCATGACATTTGGCCACCAACTGAAACCTGACCTCTGACCCCAGACCACTGGCCCTTCCCCCGCCCTGTGGCGACCTCATAAAGGTTACTAGCTTCTCCCCTGGCCTTGAGACCCACATGATGGCCCTGCTGGCCCTGGCCAGTGCGGTCCCATCTGCCCTGCTGGCCCTGGCTGTCTTCAGGGTGCCCGCCCGGGCCTGTCTCCTCTGCTTCACCACCTACTCTGAGCGCTTCCGCATCTGCCAGATGTTTGTGGGGATGCAGAGCCCCAAGCTCGAAGAGTGTGAGGAGGCCTTCACGGCCGCCTTCCAGGGCCTCTCTGACACCGAAATCAGTGAGGAGACCATCCTCCTTCATCAGTGTCCTGGGGAGGGTGCAGAGGGAGGGACAGGAGAGACCCAGAGGGTCAGGCTGAGGGATAGACAGAGAGAAATAGTCACACGCAAAAGGCTCAGAGACCATGAGAACAACAGAGGCTAGGGACGGAGAAACACAGACAAGGGAGGACAGCAGGGCAGTGACTCAGAGAGGGGAGGATGGAGATACAACAGGAGAAGATGGAGACTCAGAGACAGGAGGATGGAGACTCAGAGACGGGAGGATGGAGACTCAGACAGGGGAGGATGGAGACTCAGACAGGGGAGGAAGGAGACTCAGACAGGAAGATAGACACTCAGGGGAGGATGGAGACTCAGATGGGGGAGGATGGACAGTCAGAGGGGAGGATGGAGACTCGGGGACAATGTACAGTCAGAGGGTGGAGGAAGGAGACTCAGAGATGGGAGGATAGACAGAGAGGGGAGGATGGAGACTCCAGAGCATGGAGAGCCAGAGAGGGGAAGACTTAGAATCAGATAGGGGAGGATGGAGACTCAGAGAGGGGAGGATGAAGAGTCAGAGATGGGAGGAAGGAGAGTCAGAGGGGGAAGATGGACACTCGGGAGGATGGAGAGTAAGAGAGGAGGATGGAGACTTGGGAAAATGGAGAGTCAGAGAGAGGGGAAGATGGGCACTCGGGAGGATGGGGAGTCAGACGGGAGGATGGAGACTCAGAAAGGGGAGGATAGAGAAGAGGCAGAGACTGGGGAAGCAGGATAGAGACTAGCGTTGGGGGAGAGACTCAGGGAAGATGGAGACTCACAGAGAGGTGAGGATAGAGCCTGGGAGGGACTCAGGAAGCATAGAGACTGTGGGGCAGAGAGTCAGCAAGGGGAGGGCACAGACTTGGGAGGGCAGAGATTCAGAGACAGAATGTTCCCATTAGGGACATGGTGTTTGCGGGGAGCTACCTCCCCCAGCCCCTGCCCCCTCCTTCACCGCCAGACTATGATGAGAGAAGCCACCTGCATGATGCCTTCGCCCAGATGACCCATGGCCTGCAGGAGCTGGCTGCTGCCCAGGGTGAGCGTGTGGGGGTGGGGAGATGGGAAATGCACGTGGGAGGGCCCAGGGCAGAGGAAGGAGGCCCCAGAGTCACGCAGTCATCTGGGACGGGGAAAGCTCGGAAGCCACGAGCTCAGCTACTTGACTAAGCGAAGGCTGAAGGCAGCCCTAAGAGCCAGAGGCTGATGCTGCCAAGTGGGGAACGGACGTTGCAGAAATTGCCTATCGAAGTCCAGATGGGTCGGGTAGGTTCTGACATGGCCGCATGGCAAACACTCTTACTGGTGATGAAGTTCTGGGTGGGTCACTGCCCCTCTCCTGTCCTCAACTTACCCATCTGTAAAGTGGGACAATCTTGCCTCCTAGGATGGCCACAGAGCTCACTGTGGGGTTGGGGGCTGCCTGATGAGGCTGACCTCAGGGAGGGAATCTTCCCCTAGGACAGAACTCACACACAGTCTCACACACACACAACACATTCACTCACACAGCACTCACACACGCAAACACATTCACTCACTCATACACTCACACAGCACTCACATGCAAACACATTCACTCACACATTCACACACAGCATTCACACGCAAACATACACATTCACACACAGCACTCACACAAACACATGCTTTCACACACAGACACACACACACAGATTTCTTATAAAGTGATTCCACATTTTTGAGGTGGGAGGCGATTAGAGGGCAGGAAAACAGGAACGGCAGAGTAGATCGCTCCAGTGACAGCAGTGAAGAGAGATGGGGTGTGAGCGCCCTGGTGAGACAGCCACACGTGACAGCCTTGAGGTGTGTGGCCGTGTGAAGCGACCTCAGGGCCGGGGGCCACGCATGGCCAATGGGCAGCGTTGGCAGTAATCATGCCAGGTCACCATGGCCACAATCTCCATGACGTGCCAGAGCCTGGAACTATGGAAACTCAGAGTTTGCAGGAGCTCAGGGCTTTTTCCCGCACCCACAGTCGCTCCCTTTGCTTCCTGCTTTGCCCACCAAGCGTTTTGTCAAAGATCCCCAAAAGGGGGAGGATTCCATCCACCCGGGCATCCAGGGCCAGCCTGGAGAAGGCTTCAGCTGTGGCTCCCCCGACCTCCACCCCAAAGGGAGACCTGAGGCCCTAAAGCTCTCTGTGGGCGGGTGGTTCAGGATTCCAGGAAATGCCCTTTCTCCCCACGTGGGCTGTCTCGTCACAGAAGCTTTTGAAAAGATCAGGAAACTCTGCATCTGGGAGTGGAAGCCTTCTGTGGGGCCGACTGTGGGACAAACTTAGAGGGAAGAGAAAAGAGGCTGGGTGAGGGTCCAGGCCAGAGTGGAGGCCCAAGTTGGGGTTGGGGCTCTGAAGGTGGAGAAGAGGGGACAGGGCCAGAGAATGAGGTCTGCTGGGCTGTTTGGGGAGGCATAGAGGACAGCGTCTGAGACAGGTCCTGCTCCATGCCTGTTGGGCCATGTGTCATCACTGAAATAAGGAGCCCGAGAGAAAGAGCTGGGGGCAGATGATGAGCTGGGTTGGAGTGCAGTGACTCTGAAAGGTCCCAGGGACGTTTAGGAGGCCACTAGATACCCAGGTGCAGAGTTCAGCAGAAAAGTCAGAGGGTTTTGAGTCTCTGCCCTCAGGGCGCTGGGGAGCCACCAGAGGAATGTGAGCAGTAAAAATAGGGGCAGCTCTGAGTGTAGAAAGAGCCCTCTGGGGTCGTGTGGAGGATGAACCAGAGGGAGAGTCTGGAGGCCAGGAGAAGCTGGTGCAATACGTTCAATGGTGTTTACTGAAGGTGCAAACCACCTGTCTTGCTTATACTGGGGTGGAGCCTGGGAAGACAGACAATAAACATAATGGATAAAATATCTTACTATCTTAGTGTACCAGTTGCTGGTCCCTGCCGTGGAGGAAAACAGAGAAGGAGAAGAGAAAGGGGTGATAGTTTTATTGTCTTTTTTTTTTTGGAGATAGGGTCTCACTTTGTCACCCAGGCTGGAGTGCAGTGGCATGATCATAGCTCACTGCAGCCTGGAACTCCTGGGCTCACGCGCTCTTCCTGCCTCTGCCTTCCGAGTAGCTGGCACTCCAGGCGGCGTGCCGCCATCTTTGACTAATTAAATTTGTAATGATGGTGTCTTGCTATGTTGCCTGGGTTGGTCTCGAGCTCCTGGGCTCAAGTGATCTTCCTGCCTCAGCCTCCCAAAGTGCTGGGATTACAGGCATGAATCACCATGTCTTGCTGAGTGATAATTTTAAATAGGTTGGTCAGGGGAGGTGGAAATGACAGGGTCCAGTTGCGACCTGAACAAGGTGACAGCGACAGCCACGCAGATAATCTGGGGAGAGAGATTTTTCAGGCCACAGGAAACAGCTAGTGCAAGACCCTGCGGCCCGTGGGGCTGGAGTGAAGGTGAAATCTGAGAGATAGCAAGGGGCCACCTCCCAAAGATCCTCATAGACAGAGGTGATTCTCAAGCCCCAGCATACATCAGAATCCCCTGGGAGCTTATTAAAAATGCAGATTTCTGACAGGATCCCAGGTAATGCTGATGAAGCTACTCTGGGAGCACCCAATCCCTGTTGTATGCCCTTGGAATGACTTTTGTCTTTTGCTCTTGAAATGGGGGAGCTATTGGAGGACTTTACACCAAGACACAGGATCTGACCTGGGGTTTAACAAGATCTCTCTGGCAGCTGTGTGGGGCCTGGGCAAAGGCAGGAAGATTTCCAGTGAGAAGGTGGCTCGTCGCGGGTCAGACAAGTCACAGTGGTCCGGGGAGATCTGACTGCGTGCCAGGCTTGCCCATGTGTGTGAGAGGCTGTGTCTGCCATACAGAGTGATTCATATGAAGTATCCTCCTAAAGGATTTCCTCGGCCAGGCGCAGTGGCTTACACCTGTAATCCCAACACTTTGGGAGGCTGAGGCGGGTGGATGACAAGGTCAGGAGTTCAAGACTAGCCTGGCCAAGAGGGTGAAACCCTATCTCTACTAAAATACAAAAATTAGCTGGGCGTGGTGGCAGGCGCCTGTAATCCCAGTTTCTCAAGAGAGTGAGGCAGAGAATTGCTTGAACCCGGGAGGTGGAGGTTGCAGTGAGCTGAGATCACGCCACTGGACTCCAGCCTGGGCGAAGAAGCAAGACTCCATCTCAAAAAGAAAAGAAAAGAAAGGATATCCTCTACCAGCCCTGTGAGGCTGGGTTTTATAGCCCCACTTTTCAGATGGGAACACTGGGGCTCCTCTTGACAAGAACAGTAGACCCTGGGATATATTTGGAGATAGATTGGACCAGATATAAGTGGGTGAGGGCAATGGGAAGAATCAAGGATGACTTTTGAGTCTCCTCCAGATGGAGGAGCAGGGAGTCAGAGGAGCTGACGTAGGCTGACTGCCTCTTGATGATCCCACGTGGTCTTGCTTGTGTAGGTGTATATATAATCCACAGAGTGGATGACGTGGTATAGACAGCATGCAGCATGCCACATGCAACGATTAGGTGTGGAGGCTCTAGAGCCTGACCACCAGGGTCAGATGTAGCCATGTGATTCTAGACCACTTCTCCAATCTCCCCATGCCCCAGTTTCCCCATCTCGAACTTGGAGATGGCAATCGTAAGTTTCCCAGTCTTCTCTAACACTCGCTATGTGCCAGACACCATTCTACACGCTTAGAGACATCATGCCACACAATCATGAAATCATAATCCTCATGGTTCTATGTGGCTGCTAGAGCCCCAGCCATCAAAACAAAGTCTTATTTAATGATTCAGCCTCTCCCCAACCCTGCAATACAGACACTGCTCCTGTGATACACACACTGCTATCATCCCCATTTTATGAATGAGGAAACTGAGGAAACGGAAGGTGGAGTCACTTGGTCATATGGGGCGGAGGGCTTGTGATTGATACTGAGATTGGAAACAGGTACGCTCAAGACAGAAGCGCCAGGACTCAGACCCAGATGTATGTCAGAGTCGGAGCTCCTGCTGATACGCAGCTCCTCTAGGGAAGACTTTACAACAGCCACGCATGCCTCCTTATGGTCCACTTGATATAACCCAGGCTCCTTGGCCTGTTGGGAACGTTTCACTCCATTCGTACTCCCCTGGTGGGTTAGAAACCCACCCGCCACCGTGGCTTACTTGGTATATTCCACTCACCCTTTCCCTGAGTCGTGCTTTGGCCCATAGACATTCTTTGGATGACTCCTCAACATCCAGGCCTCTCATTTGTGCACCCCAGTCTGACCACATGCTCCTGATCATCCTGCCATCTCGAGACCACACTCCTGCTCTGTGGCCAAGGAGAGACCACTAAGTCCTCATCCGGAACCCACTTCTTGGCATGAGTGCCTTCTCTCTCCAAGTGTATATCCAATGGTCATTGTTTCAGCCATTGTTTGTTTTGCCAGTATCCTCAGTTCCCTCCCTTTCTGTATGGCTTTACATCACAGAGGAAGCTTTCCCCTGTCCCTGCAATGGCTTAAGCCAATAGGAAGTTTACCTCTCCTATACAAAGTAAGTCTTGAGGTAGGCACTTAAGGTTAGTATGGCACCTCCATTTCTTGGGGACCCAAGCTCTTTCAAGACTTAATATCCCAGGGAATAGCCTTGTCCTCATGGTCCTGTGTGGCTGCTAGAGCTCCAGCCATCAAAACAAACTTTCAGGCAACAGGATGCAAATTTTCAGGCAGCAAATGGATGAGGGAATCAATAAGATGGTGCCACCTTCTCTCTTTTTTTGTTGTTGTTTTTGTTTTTTAGAGATGGGGTCTTGCTCTGTTGCCCAGGCTGCAGTGCAGTGGTGCAATCATAGCTCACTGTAGCCTCGAACTCCTGGGCTTAACCATCCTCCCACCTCAGCTTCCTGAGTAGCTAAGACTACAGGCACATGCCATCACACCTGGCTAATTTATCAAAATTTGCTTACCCAGTCTGGTCTCAAACTCCTGCCCTCAAGTGATCCTTTCACCCCAGCCTCCCGAGTAGCTGGGATTCCAAGTGCAGTACCACCTCCCTTTTAAGGCCACTTCCTGTGACTCACTTATAACACATCCACTTACATCCTATGGCTACAGCTTGGCCACATGACCTCAACTTCAAGGAAGGCTGTGAGTTGAAGCCTTTTATCTGTGTTCTGTGGATATAGATGCACGGATATTTAGAGGCAATGGACACTCCCTGTGTATTGGTTTGCTAGGACCACTGTTACAAAGTACCGTAGACTGGGTGTCTTGAACAACAGAAGTTTCTGCCTTCCAGAAGTCTGAGGTCAAGGTTCTGGTGTCAGCAGGCTTGGATTCTCAGGCCTCTCTCTCTGGCTTGTAGATGCTTTCTTCATATGTCCCTGCGTGCATGTCTGTGCCCCAATTTCCTTCTCATAAGGACACCGATCACACTGCATTACGGCCCACCCTCATGACCTCATTTTAACTTAATCACCTCTTTCAGAACCAAGTACAGTCACATTCTGAGGTACTGGGAGTTAAGACTTCAACAAACGAATTTGGGGTAGGGGCACAATTTAGCCCATAAAATCCTGCCACAATCCTAATTTCCACAAACCACCATGAGATCAAGCCAGCTGTCCACTTTTTTTAATTCCACTGGGAAAAGCCACAAACCCTTACAGTTTGAAGGCCATTACAGTGGTCAAAACACAAGGTCAGGCGCGGTGGCTCACACCTGTAACCCCAGCACTTTGGGAGGCCAAGGTGTGGAGATCACGAGGTCAGGAATTCAAGACCCGCCTGGCCAACATGGTAAAACCCCATCTCTACTAAAAATACAAAGATGAGCCAGGCATTGTGCTGGGTGCCTGTAATCCTAGCTACTGGGGCGGCTCAGGCAGAAGAATCACTTGAACCTGGGAGGTGGAAGTTGCAGTGAGCCAAGATCATGGCACTGTATGTACTCCAGCCTGGGCAACAGAGCGAGACTCTGTATCAAAACAAACACCTACAAAGACAAAGAACATACAAGGGTAAAAGATGTATTCTATGAACATTATAGAAATGAATATAGGCTGGAGACGACAGAGGTGGCCGATGTGGCCCCATTTCAAGGGAGTGGCTGCTACCCATCTCCAGCTAATTGCTGCCTTATGGAAATGTGATCTCTGTGTTACAGCTCTTCCAACTTTTTAAAAAAGAGAGGCCAAACATTTATGTGACATTCCAAATTTTCTATGTTGGTGACTGGTTCATTTTCTTTTAAACACTTTGCAGGCCAAATACCACACATAGGGCCATAGGCCACCAGTTGGGATCTCCAGTTCCAGTTGGATCCTGGAATTCATTTTACAAATACTTAATGAGCACTTCTAAGATTCAGCGCCCTCTCCAGGATTCAGAGGACACAGCGCTAAGGAAGAACGTGTTTATTTACTTACAAGACAGACATAAATGACCATCATCTATATATAAATATATGTGATTGCAGATGGATGAGAGCTAGGAATGAAATGATTGCAATGAGAGACTAAAACAGGGAACTTGATTAGATTTGTGGTGATGGAAGGATGATTACGAGACAGAAAAATGTGCTAAAAGCAGAAGCCAGCATGTGCAAAGGCCCTGAGGTGCTAGGGAATTTGGTTATTTTCATAATAAAGGAAATGAGGCCTGGCTCAATGGCTCACGTCTGTAATCCCAGCACTTTGGGAGGCCAAGGTGGGTAGATCACTTGAGTGATCCAAACAGGAGTTTGAGACCAGCCTGACCAACATAGTGAAACCCTGTCTCTTCTAAAAATACAAAAATTAGCTGGGCGTGGTGGCACACGCCTGTAGTCCCAGCTATTTCGGAGGCTGAAGCCGGAGAATCACTTGAATGTAGGAGGCAGAGACTGCACCACTGCATGCCAGCCTGGGTAACAGAGTGAGACACTATCTCAAAAAATTAAAATAAAATAAAAAAGGAAATGAAAGGTGGGCCCTAGTGATGGGACAGGGAGGGAGAGGAACTAGGCCAAACCATGTGGGACCTAATAGGCCTTCGTGAGGAATTTGATCCTTATCCACCCCTTCTCCCCTCAACAAGCTACATGCCGGTGATGTCCAGTAGGGCTGGTTCAGGAAGCAGAAAGGATACTTAGGGACTTGTTAGCCTTCAAGTACACAAGGTGGGAGGAAATGAGAGGAAAAAACAGAGAATATGGTAATAAGAGAGACGGAGGGGTGGAGAGGAGCTGGGGAAGGGCAGACATCATGACAGTACATCCCGTGAGCTAGTGCCAGCTTAGCCCTAGCAATGCTAGATCAGAAGGCAGGACCAAGCCCTAGGGGAAGGATTTTGCCACACAGGCCGCCCTCCCCTTTGCTCTCCAGGATCCTTTGAGGTTGCCTTCCCTGATGCGGCGGAGAAAATGAAGAGAGTCATTACACACCTTAAAGAAGGTAAAAGACTCCTTATCTCCTCCCCCAGACACACACAGAATTGGAAAACCCCACTCCTGGCTGGGCATGGTGGCTTACGCCTATAATCTCAGGAGTTCAAGACCAGACTGACCAACATGGTGATACCCTGTCTCTTCTAAAAATACAAGAATTAGTCTGGTGTGGTAGTGCATGCCTGTAATCCCATCTACTCAGGAGGCTGAGGCAGGAAAATCACTTGAACCCTGGAGGTGAGGTTGCTGTGAGCAGAGATCTTGCCACTGCACTCTAGCCTGGGTGACAGAGCAAGACTCTGTCTCAAAACAAAACAAAGCAAAACACACTCCTGAGATCCCTATCCACTCTTCTGGCGCCATCTCTGAGCCTCAGGCCTTGGGGATCAACTCCTGTGTGGACTACCGTGGATTTGGCTTCACCCCTTCGATGGAAGCTTTCCTCTCCAGCTAGGAGCAGTCATGGGATGTATCTCTATGAAAGGTTTCCTCTCCTACTGATCCCCTTTCCGGGAATACTTCTAGCCCGCCTTCTCAGTGGAATCCAACTGGACTGCCTACCCCCATCAGGCCCTCCAGAAGGCCAGTGTCTCCCTCTGACTCCCAAGTAGATGGCTGGCAGTGGGCGTGGGCCTGACCCCTCCTAGTGCAAAGCTCAGGCCTGGCCCCGCCTCCAGGTGGAACCCAGCGGGCTTGACCCCGCCCCCAGGTTATGACTGCAGCTTGACCCCGCCCCCTAGGAGCAAAGCGTCCAGCCCTGTAACATCCGATAGGGGAGCATGGGGTGAGGGGGTTCTTCCCACGACCTTAAAGTGGTGATGTTTCATCTCTCCCTACAGCCCAGGCCTGCATCCCTCCCTGCGGTAAGGAGTTCATCTAAAAATTGGAATTGTCGGGTAAGGGAGGTGGTCGGGGCCGAAATCAGGTGGGTGAAATCGGGTGGGCTTCAAATCCTTAGGAGACCAACAAGAGCCCCGGAGAAAAGGAAGTAAACCAGGTATTGCTCTAAATCCTCATAGAAGGTGGGTGTGAGAGCCGAAGCAAACCAATAGGAATCCTAGAGGGCAGAGAGGAGTGAGAGGTGGCTTAGGACTGCAGGGACGGCTGGTTTAAGATGCTACCTGGCCAGTGGACCCCGGGGAGCTGTATGGATCTCAAAGGGCCAAAGGGCCCTGGGCAGGTGGCACCCAGACCCAGCGTTCCCACTCCACAGGTCTCCAGGAGTTTGCCCGGCGTTTCCTCTGCAAAGGGTGTTACTCCAGGGTCTGTGACCTCCCGCTGGACTGCCCAGGTGAGGGGCAGGGCCTTGGGGTGGAGGGGACCAACCTAAGAAATGGAACCAGAGCACACCGGCAAGTCCCAGCCAGTGATCCATGGTCTGTCTTCAGTTCAGGATGTGACAGTGACTCGGGGCGACCAGGCTATGTTTTCTTGCATCGTGAACTTCAAGCTGCCCAAGGAGGAGATCACCTATTCCTGGAAGTTTGCAGGAGGAGGTGTGAGTCGGGGCGAAGGCGGCGCAAAGGGTTTAGACGGGCGAGTTAGGCTTCACTATGGGTTGGGGAGTCAGCAGGCGGGGGTGAGACTCCGGGGAGCTGCGTCTAGACACAGGCAACAGAAAGAGGAGGGCCCCGGGATTTAGGGGAGAGCTCGAAGATCAGAATGCAGGACCAAGGACCTGGCGCAGTGACTCGCTCCTGCAATCCCAGCAATTTGGGAGGCCAAGGCGGGAGGATTGCTTGAGCTCAGGAGTTCGAGACCAGCCTGGGCAACATACTAAGACCCCACCTCTACTAAAAAATTTTTAAAACAGCCGGGCGTGGTGATGCACGCCTATAATCCCAGCCACTGGGAAGGCTGAGTGGGAGGATTGCTGAAGCCCAGGAGTTCGAGGCTGCAGTGAGCTATGATCGCGCCACTGCACTGCAGCCTGGGGGCCAGAACGAGACCTTGTCTGGAAATAAATAAATACATAAATAAATAAATAAATGCAGGTTCTAGGGGCGGGTTGTGCGTAAGGGTTTAGGTATTGTGGGGAAAGTGCGTTTAGGGCTGGGGAGCAAGTAGAAGGCTCGGGGCGGGGTCAAGGCTCAGGGCCCGGACTCAAGGGGGCGTGGTCTGGCTCGGGGGCTTGTAGGTTACTTATTGGCAAGCCGAAGTTGAGAAGCTTAAGCCCGCGGGTCCCGCAGCTCCGGACTCAGGACCTGTCCTATTTCCGAGATGTGCCGCGGGCCGAAGGATACCTGGCGCGGATCCGGCCGGCGCAGGTCACGCACCGCGGGACGTTCTCCTGCGAGATCAAGCAAGACCAGCGCCCCCTGGCTCGGCTCTACTTCTTTCTTAACGGTGGGGCGGGGCGCGGCGGCGGGAGCGAGCGGGGCGGGGCGAAGGGCGGGGCTCGTGCCCGTCTGACGTGCGCGCCCCCGCAGTGACGGGTCCGCCCCCGCGCGCGGAGACAGAGTTGCAGGCCACGTTCCGGGAAGTGCTGCGCTGGGCCCCGCGGGAGGCCGAGCTGATCGAGCCCTGGAGGCCCAGCCTGGGCGAGCTGCTGGCCAGGCCCGAGGCTCTGACGCCGAGCAACCTGTTCCTGCTTGCAGCCCTCGGGGCCCTCGCATCAGTGTGTGCGACCATGTTGGTGTGGTGAGTGCTCAGGACCCCGGAGTCCCAGCCTCTAGCTTCCCGCTTTCTCAGATCCCACCGAGAGGTCTGGGTTCCCAGCAACCTCCAACCCAGGAGGTCGGGCTCTCAGCCCCTCCTCCCGCAGACCCAGGAGCCCCCCAAGTCCCCTTCTCCCGCAAATCCAAGAATCCAGGCCCTCAGGCCCCCTCCTCCCTGAGACCCAGAAGCCCAGGCCCCAGGCCCCCCTCCTTCAGACCCAGGAGTCCAGGTCCCTAGTCCTACCTCAGGCAGACCCAGAAATCCATGCCCCCCCAGTCCCCTCCTCCCTCAGATCCAAGAGTCCAGGCCCCCAGACCCCTCCTCCCTCAGACCCAGGAATTCAGGCCCCAAGGCTCCCTCCCTCAGACCCAGGTTTCCATCTAGGCCCCTAGCCCCTCCTACCTCAGACCCAGGAGTGCAGGCCCCCAAGCCCCCTCCTCCCTCAGACCCAGAAGCCCAGGCCCCCCGCCCTCCTCTCTCAGACCCAAGAGTTCAGGCCCCCAGCCCCTCCTCCTTCAGACCCAGGAGTCCAGGGTCTGTCCACCATTTCAACCCAGTGTCCAGGCTTCCAGGACCTAGATTTCTAGCCACCAACCCTTCCTGTTACACGCGTACCTTTGTTTCCCCAGGATGTTCTTTGAATGGTACTGCAGTGGCAGCTAACAAAGGTATCTCTCCTCCTTCCCTATCCTATTTCCATCCTGAAAATAAAGAATGTATTTCAACTCTGGATTGTTTCGTCTCGGAAGGTGGTCACTACTAACTCAGATAGGAGGAGGTGCAGCAAGCCCACACATGCCCAGATCAGTACGGCCCCCATAATGACAGTGATAGGCGTAGGTATCACAGGGCAGGTTTCTGCACTGAGGGTTTAGGTGGGAACCCAGATACCCCCTCAGATTACCGGCTGTCTCCTTGACACTCCCACCTGCAGAAGGCACCCCCAAATAGAGTCCTTGATGTCCTCAGAGGCTCTTTCTCCCCAAGGCTTTCTTCCTGCCTGAAAGAGCACCACCATCCACCTAGCAGTGCAAACCAGAAACCTAGGAATCTGATTTCTCCTCCACTTCAAACTCATTTTCATTTCCAACTCTCAGACTTTTTAACTTGTAAATATCTCCTGAAGCTGCCTTCTCTGTGGTCCCAGTCACGCCCACCTCATGTCTGGATCACAGACCAGCCCCCCTGCCTCTCTTTGGCCTCTCCCTACTGTAGCCCATTCTCTACATAGCAGCAGGACTTGTTTTACTTCATTTTATTTTATTTTTTTTTTGGAGACGGGATCTCACTCCAGGGCCCAGGCTGGAGTGCAGGGGCGATGTCAGCTCGCTGCAACCTCTGCCTCCCTGGTTCACGTGATTTCTCCCGCCTCAGCCTCCCAAGTAGCTAGGATTACAGGCATGCCATGCCTGTATTTTTTTTTTTTTTTTTTTTTTTTTTTTGAGATAGTTTCGCTCTTGTTATCCAGACTGGAGTGCAATGGCGCGATCTCGGCTCACCACAACCTCCGCCTCCTGGGCTCAGGCAATTCTCCTGCCTCAGCCTCCTGAGTAGCTGGGATTACAGGCACGCACCACCATGCCCAGCTAATTTTTTGTATTTTTAGTAGAGATGGGGTTTCACCATGTTGACCTGGATGGTCTCCATCTCTTGACCTTGTGATCCACCCGTCTCGGCCTCCCAAAGTGCTGGGATTACAGGCGTGAGCCACTGCGCCTGACCCGCCATGCCTGTATTTTAGTAGAGATGGGGTTTCACCATGTTGGCCAGGCTGGTCTCGAACTTCTGACCTCAAGTGATCCACCTGCCTCGGCCTCCCAAAGTGCCGAGATTACTGGTGTGAACCACCCACACCTGATCGAATTGTACACTTTGAATGGGTGAACTCTGTGGGAGAGAAATTGGAGACAAATATGGACAAGTGTCCCAAAGAAATTTGCTATTAACAGAAAGAAATGGAACAGTAGTTTATGGGGAACCTGAGGTCAAGAGAGGGGGGTCTTAAAAATGGGAGAGTGATGATATGTTTGGATGCTGATGGAAAAGGGTCAAGGGGAAAGGAGAATTGCTGATCGGGTGGAAAGAACTGCTGGAGTGAAGCCTTTGAGCAGACAAAGAGGTCATAGGGTCTGTTGCCCTAATGGAAGAGGTTGGCATTGGCTTGGAGCACAGACAAGTCACCCTCCACAGTAGGAAGAAGGTGGAGCGTATGGGCATAGGGCAAGTGAGTGGGAAGACCCGGAGATGGGGACTCCCAACAAGTTTTCTTTTTTTTTTTTAATTTTTTATTGGATTTTAGGTTTGGGGGTACATGAGCAGAGCATGCAAGACAGTTGCGTAGGAACACACATGGCAGTGTGCTTTTCTTTCCTTCTCCCCTTCACCCACATTTGGCATTTCTCCCCAGGCTATCCCTCCCCACCTCCCCCTCCCACTGGCCCTCCCCTCTAACCCCTACTTTCTCAGTGAGACAGGAAGCCAGCTAAGAGGCTAGGGGAGGAGATGCTGGAGGTTTGAGGAGAAAAGGGATGAATTAGCCTTCTGAGCAGGTGGACTAGAGACAAAAGCACCATCTGCAGTGCCTGACAGTGCCGGCAGGCAGGTGACAGGTGCTTCGTAAGTACCAGTGAATGAGTTGTGATGTAACCCTCACACCAACCCTGCCCCGTGGGATTAATAACCCCTGTTCTCAAAAGAGGGAACCCCAGGTTCCAAGGAAGGAGAGCATCTTGTCCAGGTTCAAATGGCTGGCACCCACCACTGAGCCCAGTGCTCCCAACTCAATCATCCAATGCCCTCAGTTCTCAAAAAAAGGAGGCGGCTCGGGGAAAATAAATAAAATTCTTTATTACATCCTAATCACACCGTAGAAATGGAGATTAAATAAGAACGAGGAGAAAGCAGGGCCCTTTCCCCTCCACTCCTCAAATCCCACATCCTGATCAATAAATACCCTTCCCTAGAGACCCAGAAGTCCCAGTCCCAATGTAGTCCAGACTGAAGAATCTTGGGCTGACCCCCTCGTTTTGCAGAGGAGGGAAACTGAGGCCCAGAGAACCACCCAGCAAGCTCGTGGCTGGGGGCCCTGCAGGTGGTCACTGGCCTCCCCTGAAGACCCTGGAGACAGCATTCATGTGGCTGGACTCACACCTGGACACGGTAGCCCCCGGCACGCCGCCGGCAAAGCCTCCTCACGCCCACCCAGTACAGCGTCAACATGACCACCCAGTAGCCCACGTAGGCGCCAGCCCCCGCGGCCAGGTGGTAGGCCTCGGCTGTGCGGGAAGGGCCGCTCCAGTCGGCCCTGGCCTCCTGTGCCACGCTGCGGATCAGGCCCCCAAGCAGCAGCAGCGCCCAGAGCGCCAGGGGCAGCAGAGGGACGTAGTTAGCGGCCAGCTTCCTCCGGCCCGAGGTGCCCCAGCCACTCTGGTTCATGGTGACCAGCGCCAGGAACTTGGCGGGCAGGAGGCCACACATGTAGAGGGGTGCGTAGAGCGACAGCAGCACCATGCGCAGGCAGCCCCGCAGCCAGGCCGCGAAGGCCGCCTTGGCCAGCGCCACGCCCTGCACGCACAGCAGCACCCACAGCAGCGCCCACGGGCGGCCCGCATAGAACAGACGCAGCACGGTGATCGCCACAAAGAAGGGGAACAGGCCCGAGACCACCGCCTCGTAGGTCATCCACGCGTGATGCCGGTGCCACCAGAGCGCATTGTACAGCCACTCGCGGAAGTATGACTTGGACCAGCGCGTCTGCTGGCTCAGCCAGCGCAGGAAGGACGAGGGCGTCTCTGAGTAGCAGCGGGACCTGGAGGTGTACCTGCACCAGGGCGAGGAATGAGGGCATCATTGCATGCTCCCTGGAGCCTGGGCAGGATTCTGGGGGCAGAAATGGCCACTGTGGATGGCCACTGGGGGCGAGTTTCTTAACCTCTCTAGGCCTCAGTGTTCTCATGTGTAGACTAGGGTCCACAATGGTTCCTAGGCCTGGACATAGTCCTGTAATCCCAGCACTTTGGGAGGCTGAGGCATAAGGAGTTGAAGACCAGCCTGGGCAACATAGCAAGACCCTGTGTCTACTAAATAAACAAATAAATATGTAAGCACCAATGGGCGAGGTACAATGGCTCATGCCTGTAACCCCAACACTTCGGGAGGCTGAGGTGGGGAAATTGCTTGAAGCTAAGAGTTCAAGATCAGCCTAGGCAACATAGTGAGACCCTATCTCTAAAAAAATTCAAAATAAATAGGCATTTCTGTTTTTTATTTTCTTTTTAGAGATGGGTTCTCACATCACAGGTGATGTGTGCCTGTAGTCCCAGCTATTTGGGAGGCTGAGACGGGAGGATCACTTGGGCCCAGGAGTTGGAGGTTGCCACGAGCTGTGATTGTGCCCCTGCACTCCAGCCTGAGCCTGGGCAATGCAGCAAGACTCTATCTCAGGAAAAAAAAAAAAAAAAAAAGGTTCTATCTGACAAGGATATTGTGAGGACTGAATGAAGATTAAATGACAGGTGCTTTGGACCAGTAGATAGTATTTGCTCAGTAACTGTTAGCTGCTACTGTTTTTACCATGACTAATACCGTTACTATTGCTGTTTCTAATACCACGTTGGTTACCGACACTATTACTAACACCATCACTAACACATCACTAGTACTATCACGCTTACTATTACTGGCGGGCCCTACAGTGAGGAGCAAGATGGGCGTGGCTGCTACCCTGGGCGGTCTATGTGTTAGAACTTCTCAAGGGAGCCATCAGGCCTCCTTCCCGTGTTGTGGCAGACATCATTAATCAATCCCCGCACAGTTTCCAGCCAAGCCCACACAAGACTAGAATCCCGGGAATTACTTGACCGTGTCCAGTCTCCTTCCGCTACGTCACTTGGCATCCTCAATGGCCTGCCTGCTTCCGACCTGGCCTCCTGCAGTCCATACCCAATACAGCTGCCAGAGGAATCCCATTACAACGTATCACTTCTCTGCTCAAAACCCTCCCATGGCTCCCTCATCTTAGAGTCCTTAAGCCTATAAGCCTTTCGTGAGTGGGTTCCTCGTTAACTCTCCATCCTCCTCTCCTGATACTCCCCCAGCTCAGTGCTCCGCATCCTCCCTCAGGCATCCACTTAACACTTCACTCCCTACCCCAAAACTTCCTATCCCCCCACCCCCGGCATTATTTATCTCCATAACACATATCATTAACATACTGTATGTTCTACTCATTAATTATTGTGTGTCTCCCAAACTGATGTAATCGATTGGTGTCCCGTCTGTCTATTGCCATATCCCTGCAGCTTAAATATTCTAGGCACCTAAGGAATATTTGTCCAGTGAATGGATACATGGATTCCGTTGGAATATCTCAAGTTTTCTCTGGGTCTTTCAGTGGGCCTGGCTTTGCAGAACTCACTCTCCCCTGCACTTCACTTGGTCTAGCTCATACTCCCCTGAGTCTCATGGAATCACTGAATTACCTGTCTGTCTTCTCCTGAAGAACTTAATAGACTTCGGGTGCTCCTCTCCTCTCGCTTGATTCCTTTTTATTTATTTATTTTTTTTTTTTTTGAGATGGAGTCTCACTCTGTCGCCCAAGCTGGAGTGCAGTGGTGCGATCTCAGCTCACTGCAACCTCCGCCTCCCAGGTTCAAGCGATTCTCCTGCCTCAGCCTCCTGAGTAGCTGGGATTACAGGTGCACACCATCATACCCAGCTAATTTTTGTATTTTTAGTAAAGACAGGGTTTCATCATGTTGGTCAGGCTGGTCTCGTGATCTGCCCGCCTCAGCCTCCCAAAGTGCTGGGATTCCAGGCGTGAGCCACCGCGCCCGGCCCCTCGCTTGATGCTTTCTCCATGGCTCTCTCACTAGTCAGATCCCACGCCATCCATTTGTTTCTCGCCCTTCCCACTTCACTCCCCACTGTGCCACCTTGGTCTCCATGGCAGAACCAAGTCACCCTATCTCAATTCTGGGTGGAGTTCTCCACTCTCACCTTCCCTCTCTTGGTAGGGTTCACTGCATTCCATGGTTCAATGCAAATGCCACCCTTGTCCCTTATAGTGACTTTCACTCTCCCCTAATATTTCATGTGGTAGAGTCCACTGGGGCTCAATGCAAATGGCCCCTCTGCCCCTTATGGTATCTTCCTCTCTCCTCCAGTGTCTCACTTGGTAGTGCCCATCGTCTAGTGAGTTACTTTGGATTTGGAGAACTCCCAGCACGCACACACACACTGAGATACTCATTGGCCTCTACACGTACCCAACCACCTGGTCCCCTCAGCTTACTTGGTAGCATAACCCATGCTGAGCATGCGGTTAGTGAGGTGTCGGTCATCCCCAAAAGTACAGTGGGTGCCCAGGAACTTCTGGTTGTACCAGGCCTCAAGAAACTGCTGCAACAGGTTGTTCCTGTATAGGCCTGGGTGGAAGGGAGGTGCGAGAGAGTGTCAGCCTCTGCTGTCACCAACACCAACTCCAATGCCGTCTCCAGCCCCAACCCCATCTCCAGTTCCAACCCCATCCTCCGTCATCAGAATCGCAATCTCAGCACTATCTCCAGCCCCAATGCCGTCCTCAACCTCATACCCACTCCAACCTGCCTGTCATCGAACCACGCCCACTGTGACTGCAAACCTGCCCACCCCAGTCTCATCACCAATCCCATATCCATTCTCAGCCCCATCCAAAACCCACTGCAACCTCAAACCTGGCTCCAACTCTGTCTTTGACTCCACGCCTATCCCATCTCCTTCCCCAGCCCCAACCTCAATTCCCATCCATATTTCCCTTCTCCAACCTCACTCTCCACACCAAACCCAGCTTGAGCCCAAGCAGCATCCTCACCACCAACTTCCAGTTTTATCCCATCCCCAATTCCTGCCCTGCTCCATCTTTGTCCCCAACCCCAGTCACATCCTCAGCCCCATCCAGCTTCCCTTCTCCCTTTCCACCCCATCCAAGACCCTCACAATCCCTGCCCCTGCTTACCTAGGGGACCGCTGATGCAGGACACACAGTGGAAGTAGCTCTGGCAAGCCCGCTCCACGTTGAAGGCTACCCAGTATCGCAGGCTGCTTAGGAAGCTGACCCAGGAGTCCAGAGGGTTAAGGATCCGCACGTCCCCGCCAACAGCCCCTACCCGGGGGTCCTCATCCAGTACCCGCACCAGCTCCAGCAGCGCCATGGGGTCCAACCTTGTGTCGGAGTCACAGACCTGTGTGGTGGAAGAGGCCAGAATCAGCACAGACCCCTGCACCAGGCTGATGCTTAAAGGGGGTCACCAGGGGATGTGATGCTGCTGAGGTACTCCGCAACCAATCTGAACGTAATTTTGAGACTTTTAGTCATTTTCAATGTGTAATCACAGTTTAACATGTACTTCCAGATGCACATCCTTATATGAACATGAACCATAAGACATACACAGTCTCCTCTGGTGTGTGACCCCTAACTTCCTACTAAGCTATAGAATATGGCAGAAGTTACAAGATACAACTGCCATGATTCTATTACCTAATGTGGAAATGGTGAATGGGTTTTGCAATGTAATTAAGTCCCCAAATCTCTTGACTGACTATAAGTTAACGAAAAGACGGTTATCCTGGGTAGGCCTGGTCCAATCAGGAGAACCCTTTAAATGCAGATCCGCAAGTCAGAGGCTCTCCTTGCTGGCCTTCAAGAGGCACACTACTGCTACCACGAGTTCTGTGGCTGCGGGAAAATGCCCTCTGCCAACCAACGAGCACATAAACCTTAAAAAGACCCAGCTCCAGCTGACGCCTTGACTGCAACCTGGTGATATCCTGAAAAGAGGACCCAGTTGAGTTGTGCTGACTCTTGAGTCATAGAAACTATGAGATAATAAATGTGTAACTTGTTATGCAGCAATGGAAAACTAATACAGTGCATTAGAATCGCCACACCAGGCGGGGCACGGTGGCTTATGCCTGTAATCCCAGCACTTTGGGAGGCCAAGGTGGGCAGATCACCTGAGGTCAGGAGTTTGAGACCAGCCTGGACAACATGGTGAAACTCTGTCTCTACAAAAATGCAAAAAATTAGCTGGGCATGATGGCGGGTGCCTGTAATCCCAGCTACTGGGGAGACTGAGATGGAATAATCGCTTGAACCCAGGAGATGGAGGTTGCAGTGAGCCAAAATCGTGCCTTTGCACTCCAGCCTGGGCGACAGAGTGAGACTCTGTCTAAAAAAAAAAAAAAAAAAAAAAAAAAATTGCTACACCAAAGGCAACGGACAAATGAGTAAATAAGTGAAATTAATCTCTGTATTGAATAGATGGTTGGATGCATGAATGAAATAATCTCAACGCTGAAGAAGGGCAAAGGGAGGGAGGGAAGAAGGAAAGAAGAAAGGGAACAAATCTCGACATTTAATAGATGAATGAATAAATGAGTAAATAATCTCCATATCGGATGGATAGATGGGTGCGTGAATGAGTGAAGAAACGCGTTTCTACACGGAATGAAGTAAGGAAGAACTTAATCCTATATTGAATGAATGGAAAAGTGGATGGATGGATGGATGGATGGATGAACGAATCTCTATAGTGAATGAATAAGTGAAATGAAGTATCTGCCTCCAATGGGTGGGTAAACAAAGAAAGGAAGAAATGACTCTATATGGAATGCATAAAGGAATTAAAAAATGAACGTTCTCCAGACTGAATGGATAGATGGATGGATGAATGAATGAGTGAGGAAGAGTTTCTACACTGAATGAAGAAAGGAAGAACTGAATTTTTCATCGAATGGATGGATAATTGAATCAGTGGATGAATGAACAAACCAATCTCTATATGGATAGATGAATGGATGAGTCAAGAATGAGTGAAACTGCCTCTTCCTGGAATGTGCAAGTGAACGAAGAGAGGAAAGAACGCCTCTAAACTGAATGAGTAAATGAATCAACAAATGAACGACCGCTCTCCATGTTGGAAAAGGGGTAGATGGGTGATGAATGGATGAGTGACGGAAAGAATCTCTCCACCGCACGGATGAATGAAGAAAGAAACGGAGAGATTCATTCGAATCCGAACACTGAAGGAAAGACCCCAGGAACGTGGGATTCGGCTGTTCGGGTCACGGGTGGGCTGAGGGCGCCTCCACTCACCTGCACGTAGTCCACCGAGTCTCCGAGCGCCTTGAAGGCCGTGTACATGACCTCGCGCTTGCCGCCCCAGCGCTGCGCCACGCACACGCACCTGCGCGTCCTCACCAGCGCCTCCACCGCCAACCGCCCGGGATCCTCCGCCTCCACCTCCCGGTAGGCTCCGGCGCCCATCGCGCCCGCCGCCGCGGGTTCCCAGGGCTGGTGGTAGTTGCCGTCCCACACGTACGTGGCGGGGTCCTCGTCGGCGAAGACCTCGCGGAACATGTCGACCATGTAGAGGTCCTCGGCGCGGTTGCCGTCCACCACCATGAGGACGCGCAGCCTCGCGCGCGGGTACAGCAGGGCGCGCGCGGACGCCAGGCACTGGCGCAGGTACGCGGGGTCCTCCTGGTAGGCGGAGATGGTCAGTGCCACGCTGCGCGCCGTGGCTGCCTCCAGGGGCCCCCGTGCCGCCGCGCGCCGCGCCGCCGCCGCCACCCGCCGGTGCTCCAGGTACGCGAAGAGGCTCTGCGCCACCAGGTGCGCCGAGAGGAAGGCCCCGTAGAGGCCGAAGGCCAGGAGGCCGTAGCTGTCGGAGGCCAGCGGCACCCCGGCGGCGTAGGCCCAGGTCATGAGGCCCAGGATGAGCAGCGCGAAGGCGATGGTCAGCACCCGCCGGGCCAGGCCGGAGCAGCGACGGGCTGCAGGGGTGGGCTTGGGCGCGTCCTGCTGGGAGCCGAGAGGGGAAGGGAAGGGAAGGGGAGTGAGTCCCGAGGGCCTCCTCCGAGAGAAGATTACAAAATCCCTCCTTCCCTCCGTCCCTTCCTCCCTCCCTCCCTCCCTTCCTTTCTCCCTCCCTCCCTTCCATCCTTCCTTCCTCCTTCCCTCCCTCCCTCCGTCCCTCCCTCCCTCCCTTCCTTCCTCCTTCCCTCCCTCCCTCCGTCCCTTCTTCCCTCCCTCCCTCCATTCCTCCCTCCCTCCATTCCTCCCTTCCTTCCTTCCTTCCTCCCTCCCTCCCTTCCTTCCTCCCTCCCTCCCTGCCTCTGTCCCTTCCTCCCTCCCTCCACTTCCTTTCTTCCTTCCTCTTTTTCTTTCTTTTTCTCTTTTTCTCTTTCTGTGTCTGTCTCTTTTCTTTCTGTCTCTCTCACTTGCTCTCCCTTTCTCTCTTTCTCTCTCCTTTCTTCTTTTTCTTTTGAGACAGGGTCTCACTCCAGCCCAGTGTCACCATCTCTACCCACTGCAGCCTTGGCTTCCTGAGCTCAAGTGATCCTCCCACCCCAGCCTCCCAAGGAGCCAGGACCACAAGGCTGGAGTCACCATGACTTGGTAATTAAAAAAAAAAAATTAGGAGTCATACTATGTTGCCCAGGCCCCAGTCTCCCATAGTGCTGCGAATACAGGCATAAGCCACCAAGCCCAGCCTGATTTTGTTCCTTCTAATACAATTTTTTTTCCTCGTTTCGAAATCTCTTAAATCCATGAGGACGATTACATGCAATGGAGTGTCACAATTTAATTACCAGGGTGTTTCCCTCCTCTTTCTTAGTGGCACATAAAATGAGGATTTATCTCCCAATCAAAAGTTTCTTAGGGTTGAGACAGTAATAATCACATGTACGAAGAAACCAAAATGCTGTGTACAAGTCCCTGCTCTAAGCCTTTTCGATGAACCAATTTATCTTAATCCTTACAACAGCGCTCTAAGGTAGTACTGCTATATTATCCCCATTCTACAGATGAGGCAACTGAGTCACACAGAGGTTCAGCAGCTTGCCCAAGGTCATCCCTGGAAAGAAGAGGAGCCAGGATTTGAACCCTGGGAATTGAATCGCTAAACCTCAACCTAATACACTGGCTTTAGCCCTCAGGAGAGCCCTGGGGGATAGATAGTGCTCACTACCCCCGTACAGGTGGCCAAACCGGGGACAGAGTAGCCAGGCAGGGTGGCTGGCACAAGGTCAGCAGCCCGCGGTGGAGGAATCTTCTCTCTGACTTTCCAGAGGCACAGCCAGGTTCTCCTTTTCCACTGCCCAACTCCCAAGCGGAACCCCAGGTGCCCCAGTAAATGCTGCTGGAAGAGCTCAGAATCAGGGAAAGGTACTTTTTGTGTGCCAGACACTACTCTCCAACAACCTTATTTCATATATATATATATATATATTTTTTTTTTTTTTTTTTTTTTTAGTTGACAGGAGGCAAGGCACTGTGGCTCACGCCTGTAATCCCAGCACTTTGGGATGCTGAGGCAGGTGGATCACCTGAGTTAGGAGTTCGAGACCAGCCTGGCTAACATTGTGAAACCAAAATTTAAAAATTAGCCAAGCGTGGTAGTGCACACCTGTGGTCCCAGCTACTCAGGAGGCTGGGGCAGGAGAATCTCTTGAACCCAGGAGGTGGAGGTTGCAGTGAGCTGAGAGGGCGCCATTGCACATCAGCCTGGGTGACAGCGTGAGGCTCCGTATCCAAATAATCATAATTATTATTATTGAGACAGGATCTTGCTGTGTTGCCCAGGCTGGTCTCGAACTCCCGAGCTCAAGCGATCCTCCTGCCTTGCCCTCCCCAAAGTGCTGGGATTATAGGCGTGAGCTACTTCACCCGGTCTCTACAATAACCTTATAAGGCAGGTACCTTTACTGTCTCCTGTTACAGATGAGGAAGCTGAGACATAGAGAGGCAAATACTTTTACCCAACGTCCCTCAGGTACCAAGCAGAGTCAGGGGTCAAATTCAGGCAGTCTGGCTCTGGCGTCTCCTCTGTGCTAAACTGCCTCCTATGCCACCACTTCCTGCCTCCTAGGCTGACTGTGGGTTATTTAAATGCGTCGTTAAGCTGGAGACCTTTGTGTCCAATACAGGTACCACCAGCCACGTGTCTACCGAGCACTTGAAATGCAGCCAGTGTTGCCCAGCAATTGTTTTTAATTGTATTTAATTTTAATTCACTTAAATTTAAAAGCTCTTACTTGATTCGGTTATTGGAAAGCGTTTAAGTATGTTTGGAACACGTCCCATCTAGGGTGCTCCTTGGATAACTGTGAAGTGTATAAAATCTAAACACAGATCAGGTGTTTCCAGTGGAAAGGTAACATGGAAGTGAGAAGTGCCATAGAAACACACTGGATTTTGAAGCCCACGTCTGGGGAAAAGAAAGTAAAATATCTCATTCACATATATTGATTCTGTATTGAAATGATCATATCTTATACACAGCAGGGCTTGGCATGCTAAGACCTGCTACAGCCTGCGACCTAAGAATTTTTTTTGTTTTTAGATGGTTTTTTTGTTGTTGTTGTTTTGTTTTGTTTTGTTTTGAGACGGAGTTTCGCTCTTGTTACCCAGGCTGGAGTGCAATGGCGCGATCTCGACTCACCGAAACCTCCGCCTCCTGGGTTCAGGCAATTCTCCTGCCTCAGCCTCCTGAGTAGCTGGGATTACAGGCACGCACCACCATGCCCAGCTAATTTTTTGTAATTTTAGTAGAGATGGGGTTTCACCATGTTGACCAGGATGGTCTCGATCTCTTGACCTCATGATCCACCCACCTCGGCCTCCCAAAGTGCTGGGATTACAGGCGTGAGCCACCGCGCCCGGCCTTTAGATGGTTTTTTTAAAGCCAAAAGAAGAATGATAGTTTGTGGAGCATGAAAAATATGGAATTCAGATTTCAGTGTCCTTAGATGAAGTTTTATATGCACACAACCACATTCAATTGTTTATACGTCATCTGTGGCTGATGCCACTTTTACAACATCAAAGTTGAGCACTTTCAAAATAGACCAGATGGCCCCTAAAAGCCTCAAATATTTAATATTGGGCCCTTTACCAGAAAAAATGTGCTGGCCCCTGACACACTGGGTTAAATAAAAATACATTATTAAGATTAATTTCACAATTTTGTTTTTGTTTTTTCAAATGTGGCTACAAGAGAAGTTTAAATTAGATAGCGTGGATTATGCTTTGTTTCTACAGGACAAAGCTGAGATGGAGCTTTTAAGCTCTCAACGTTAAACATTATTCTTTCTTTCTGAATCCTCCTTCTCTCTTCCTTTGCCTCAAACCTGGCCCTGCCTTAGTTCCCGAGGACAGCGCAATTCATGCCGGGGATCCAGAAGGTTGTAATTCCAGAAACACAGATGAGCACATGTGTAGACACACCCCCCACACGTGAACTCACACACAGAATGAAAATACTCGGGTTCTACAGGACGACCCCAGACACCCACTCAGGCCAAATGCAGTGATCCCGCGACCCCCACCGACAGCCACACAGGTGAACCTGCAGACTCACACCCCTCTGTAGGAAAACGCACACCAGGAAGGGATGCCCCCGTGGCCACAAACACACAGAGACCCACCTGAGAGTCTGGGGCAATGGGGTACACAGGGAAGATTGCAAGAGAAATAGCAGCTGACTGTCAAATTGATACTGAGCCAGATGAAACTGCCATTCTCACAAGTTTAGAGCAGCTCAGTGTCAGCGATTTCATTTGGTTCAACTTAGTAGCTATTGAGCACACGAAACAGAAATCCATTCCCATGTGCCACAGGCAAATCCAGCTCTCTCACTCAGCCTCTTCCACTTGCTCTTTCTCTCTGCCTCCTGGGGAGCACAGACATACCCGAATTTATAGCAAGATACACAGGTACAGAAATACGGACATGTCACGTCTCACCTACACGTACTTGTGATGGCCGCCCACACACGGCAGTGTATACCCAGAGATGGAAACCTGCACACTCAGCCTCACATGCTCGCTGTCCCCCACACACATGTGGTCACTGACACGCACATGGATATACACATGGAATCACATACACACAGTTCCCTAACACGTGGTCACACATATGGCACTAGTTTCTCCCACATGGCTGTATACACACACACACACACACACACCTGTCTCATCGCAGTGGGTCTGACCAGGCTCTCTCTTCTCTCCGGCTTGCTCTCCCAGCCTCTCTGTGGCCAGAGAGCTGGAGGGGGGTCATTTGAAGACCAGCGCAGGCGGGGGCGGGAGCCAGCGCTGACGTCAGGCTAAGCTGGGCCAGGGGCTCTGAGGTCACGGCCCAGCCGGGCAGCTCCACCCGCTTCCCGCTATTACTCCCACCCCCCTCAGCCAGGCGGGCCTCCCCTCCCAGGCCCCCATGTCTCCCTGCGCCCCTCCTCTAGTCCTCTCTGCCATCACTCCCCTCCTCTCCCAGCCTCTCTCTATTTCTTCCCTCTTCCTCCCCTCTCTTGTCCCTTGTCTCCCCTGATTTTTCTCTTCCACCTCGCTTGCATTTGGGGGTCCCCCATCCCCTCATGCCCTATCCCTGTATTTCCCTCCATCCCTTTCTTTCTCCGCAGCCACTATTTCTCCTCATCTCTTTCTTGGTATCTTCGTCTCTCTCCCCATTACCACTTTTCTCCAGGTTTCTGTCTTTCTCTCCTTTCTCTTACCTCCTCTCACCCTCATTTCTTTCTTTTTCCTTTAAAGCTCTCCCCACCTCCCTCTTCTCACCTTCCCCAGCCACCCCCGCCCTGCCTCTCCCCACAGCCGCCCCTCCTGTCCCCCGGATCCATCTCTGGGATGGGCCCCCAGGGACATGTCTCAGCAACTGGTAGACGGAATGAAACATACACACGTGTGTGCTGTGGGTGTGCCTGTGTGTGCGCTGGCCCGAGCCGCGGCTGCCTGGAACCGGAGCTGTGAGTGAACGTCTGTCCGTTCAGTGCCTGACGTGGGTCTGCGTGTTTGCACCAGGGTCTGTGGCGGAGGGCTGGGGCGCCTGGATTTGTGTCCCTGGGGATTCAGGGATGAACTCAGAGAGTTGTCAGTCAGCTGCCCTCGGGGCAGCCGGGGTCTGTCAGTGCTCTCACCCGTCAGGGAAACTGAGTCAGAGTAAGGGCAGAAAAGAGAAGTGGGACCTGGGGTGCCTCAGCCCCTTGGACCAGAAGATCTGTGTTAAATGTCTGTTTCCACGCTCTTGTTTCCATGAATCTTTAAAAAGCGCTCTGCATCTAATTCTCTTTTTCTCTCTGCCCCTCCTACTGTGAACCGTGGATGTGTAGCTTTCTGCCTTCTAGCTACCTCGTTCCATTTCTCCCTGCCTGTGACTCTGACGATCTTTGGTGTCTGCTGGGGGCCAGCTCCCGGACAGGCTGGAAGACTTGAGCAGCCGGGAGAAATTCCTCCATCCTTCTCTCTCCTTGTCTCTGTCTCTCCCCGAGTCCCCGCCTCTGTGTATTCCTGTCTGTTTCTCCTCCTCGTCCCCCTCACAACCACTCTCTCTCTGTTTTGACCTGGGAGTATGTCTGTCCCTTTGCATTTCTGATGTGTCCCTGACTTTCTTCTTCTGTGGCTCTCGCTCTTTCTGAGCGCCCCTCCCTGACTTTCCTCCCTGTGTCCATGTCTCTTTCTGTCTCTCCTTCTCCTTCTATCTCCCTCTCTATCTCTGTCTCTATCATCTTCTCTCAGTCTCTCTGCATCCCCACCTCTTTCTTTTCTTTCTTTTTTTTTCCAAGACAGAGTCTTGCTCTGTTGCCCAGGCTGGAGTGCAGCGGCGAGGTCTTGGCTCATTGCAACCTTTGCCTCCCGGGTTCAAGTGATGCCCCTGCCTCCGCCTCCCGAGTAGCTGGGACTACAGGCGCGCACCACCACACCCAGCTAATTTTTTGTATTTTTAGTACAGATGAGATTTCACCATGTTGGCCAGGCTGGTTTTGAACTTCAGACCTCAAGTGATCCACCTGTTTGGGCCTTCCAAAATTCTGGGATTAAAGGCATGAGCCACCGTGCCTATTTTTGTGAGGTGCTCTCTCTCTCTCTCTCTCTCTCTCTTTTTCACTGTTTCTCTCCGTTTCTCTGTTTCTACATCTTCGCCTCTCCCTGCTGCTCCATCTCTTCCAGCCTGTCCTGGAGTTCTCCCCTGCCAGATACCAAGTCCTCACACCCTGGGTTTTCCCGAAGAGGCAGCCCCAGGCCAAGCCTCTTGCCTGGCCCTGGCTGTCAGGGAGAAGGGACATTCCCAAGGAGCCTGAACACCCCGCCCACCAACCAGGGCGGGCGGGCTGTGTCTGACGCTGTTGCTGGGAGCCAGGCCGCCTGGTGTCTGGCTGTGTCAGGATGATGGAACTTCAGATGATCTGAGGCCAGCCCAGAGCAGAAGGGGAGGGTGAGTCCTCTGTCCAGTGGGAGGGGGC